ATAGTAAAAAAACAAAGAAAAAAGTTACACACACACATTTTTCACACACTCTCACAATTTGACTTGTTTGTTTTAATTTAAGTCCACCCAGCCTCTCTGCCTTTAGGAGAGATAAGTGGATCATTTCCCTGGGGTCCAGTGTTGCTGCTTTCTAATCTTCCTGCTTTTTAATTGACTGTTACTGGGTGGCCGCGGTTACCCTTAGCGGCCGCTAGGTGGCGGTGTTATGGAGCTCCCCGGAGCCCTAGTCTCTTTGTCCCTTGTTCTCGCCACTCAGTGTCCCCATCCCGGGTCCTCCCCCTCCAAGGGGCTTGTGCGTGGGACAGGAACTCAAGTCGTTTTGTCCCTAGTTTCCGCCACCCAAATATAGGGTTTCCCGCTTCCCGTGCCAAGGGGTCTTTTTCCCAGGACCCTCTGCACCTGGTAGTCCCAGCACGGGAAAGACTCCCGTCTCCTGGGCTGTCAGGCCCAGAAAGCCCACCAAACGGCCATTGTCAGGGATCCCCCCGAATGATAACTGCCTCTGTTCATGGGAGCACTGGGTGAAACCAGGCAAGGGAAGCGTCCTCGTTCGGGACACAAATGCTCCCCCTGGCCGCCGTCCCTTGGTGCTTCCACCCAGGGAAGCACTCATTAATTACATCCCTTGTGGTTTCACACTTCTGTTGGCAACGTTCTAATTTATTGGTGTGAGCATTCCAAATGGCATTGGGGAGGTCCTCGTTCGGAAACCAAACTAGGTGGGAAGCAATCCACGCATGCTCCCCCTGGATGGCGTTCCTCTAATGCAGCGGTTCCCAACCCGTGGTAGGCGTACCCCCTGGGGTACAATTCAGTGCTCCAGGGGGTACGTGTAAAAACCCCGGTAATGGCAGCGGTGCAACCGCCCTGCACGGACTGGGGAACGCAAAGTGAGCAGGTCTGTTACAAACTGCCTTTTGTAACTGGTTCTTTACGTGGCAAATTGCCCTGTTCCCCTGGCTTATGGAGAAGCCTGATTGCCAGCTTCCTACCTCATGACTATGGCCCTGGTGTGTATGGCCCTTTAAGCACATTATTAGGGCATATTAAATTTAAAAAACTTTTTCTGCCCCTTTAATTCCATGACAAAATGTGCTTTTCCCCTTCCCCTTTCCTGTCCCATTGTTCTTCAGCAGGGCGTTGTCTCAGGGACACTGCCACACCAGTTTAAACTGGCTGCTCTGTCCCTCCGCAATCTCTCATCAGCCCTTGCTAAACTTTAACTCCATGGCGATTTTATTCTGTTCGTGGGATCTGAGCACTGTTCGGATATATTGAGCGCTCAAATCCAAACTATCTGGCGATAGGTTAAATGTTGGGGTTCTGTGTAATATAATAGGAATTATGTATTTTTATGTATTTTATGTATTTTTACTGTTAGTGTAAAATGTAGATATTTTCTGTACCTGGAGATAATTGAGTTTACTGCAGTGCCTTAAGCCAATTATCTCCAGGATAGAGGGGAGGGATTTTACTGTGTATGTGGGAGTGTTATTTTGTTAATTAGTGTTCCCATTGGTTTGTGTCCCTTTTGTCACAGTTTACCACCAGGTCCAGGGGGTGTGCCTCTGACCTGAAAACTTGTATAAAAGAAAGTCCTTTTGTGTGCATTAAACAAAACTACTTGACCCTCTAACTCGAAGCCTCGACTCGTGTTTGTAGGGGACAGCTATAATCACTACAGGGATTGCTATGCTCTGCATACTCCCTCAGCTACTGAGCTCTTGTAAGAGCTCTTGTTCCTGGTCCTGCTTCGCTCTACAGAAGGAAG